TCTGCTTGCAATTTTCAGTATCGACGTCGACCATCTCAGCTACGGTTCACGCTTTTGCAGTCCGAGCGACGTCGCTACTGAAAATTCCGAGCGAAATCTCATCATGTAAATCAGGCTTTAGCGCGTACATTCTGCGGCGTCCACGCGGAATGAATCGCCGCATGTCAGATTATTCACGCGAAGTTTTGCGGTGTAACGAGCCTCGGTAATTTCGCTGACGCCGCTCAACTAGTCAGACACCGTTAGAAGGACGTAGAATCACCAATTCCAACGCAAAAAAGAGCGCGGGGACTCACACCGACGCCGACAACATCGCATTTCAATGGTTTGTTTATGGGCGACGGCGAGCTTCTTGCCCATACCCCCATCGCGCATGCGCGGCGCCGGTGGCATCCGCTAGGGGCGCTCCGGTTTGTTTGTAAACATGAGTTGGTGTATATTGTTATTCCTCGGTGGCTTAAAGAAGTTAACGAATGAAGTTTCTCCGCGTTTGAACGCAAACTTTTATTCGGGCGAAAAAGAAACAAGCCCGTAGCACACGACGCACAGCCTCAACAGTGCTCGACGCCAACAGCGCGTTGCGTCAAAATGGCGGTCGTCTCTTCTTTGCTAAATCCTTTCCCTCTCTTTCCTTCGGCGCTCTCCTCCCTTTTCTTCACTCTTCTCCTCTCCGGCGCCTTCGTCACCACAGACCCAGAGCCTAAAGGCCCTGCACACACCCACTGACAGACGAGAGAACACACTACCGCCATCTATCGGACAACCGTGGAACACTTGGCATTTCCGAACATTGCCTTTTCTATTTCGCGCATCATTCCTTTTTTATTGGCTCGGAAAACATTTTTTTGAAAAATGTTTTATAAAGTTCAATTTTTCATAGATAATACGCACATTTGATCTCGCAAAGACTGCAAAACGAAATTTGCTCCATAAAAAGAAGTTACAGGTTAAGAAGGTAGCGGCAAACGCCCCTCAAAGGGAATCATAAATCCCTGCGCCACCTCCGCATCCAATAGCGTCCCATTGTTTCCGTGACGTCGCGGCCAACGCCCGAGGAGGGTCTTGCCTTTCTGTAAATATTAGCTTTATCCTTCGACTTTGACTTAGCATTGTGGAAGCCACGTGGAAGCCACGAGAGGGAGATTACTTTTCCCCCTCCGATGGAAACAAATGCGACTATCGGGGATTAGGTTCCCCCTCCGATGGATACAAAATCCACTTTCAGGGGCTCCGTTCCCCCTCCGATGAATACAAAGGTCGCTTTCTTAAAAAGTGAGGGTCGCAGACAAGTTGGGGGGCACCACTGTGTGGCCTGTATCTATCCATTGAAGCGGAACAAGGAACGTTTCCAGTGAACTCTTCACTTTCGACTGCGGAGAGATCTGAAACGGGCGCAGCACGCTTGGCTTCTTGACTTGTACTTCTGGGGTTTTCGTACGTCACTTTGGTACAAGTAGTCACACGTGCTAAACGAAAAGCGCCGAATAAACATGGGCAACAAAGTAGACAAGACGCAGTGCACTCTCAACGAAGGTTTAAGGAAACAAACACGCAGTATGAAAACCATATTTTTGGCTATTCGTTTAGAGAATAAAACTCTGTGTCTAACAGGTGCATTGACGGGGCACTGACGCACTTGCGTTCTCCTTGCTTTCTGATGCAGAATGCATCGTAGAATTCTAAGGCAGTTTTATCCGCGTATCTCCCGAGAGTTGTTTGTGCTAATTCTGGTCACGCGGTCACCTATCTCAGTCCACTGCCAACACCCCCGTAGAAGACAAGGCCGTAGTGCTGACATATTTACTTCACCAGCGAAGGTCAACTCATCGACACAGACTGGAAACGAGTGCTGCGTCAGCACTCCGCGTCGAGTCAAGTTCGATCCGATAGTTGACTCAATCGTTGGGTCCAACATGTGACCAGTGTTGGCCTTCTCTCATGACATCTCTAACAGCACTACGGCTTTGTTATCGAGGAGGTGTTGGCACTGACCGATTTCCCAGCGGCGACTGTTGTACTGACCATGCATGACCATGCTTGCGATCTAGTTATCAGCGGCCCGTGGGATGTTTTGGCGGAGTGCCAAAAATGGCCCGCGTCGATATGGAGCGCGGTTGACGGCGCGAAACCGCGAAGTGTCCCACAAACTGCTGTCGCTGTAATAACAGCGAGATAATCAAAATTTTCGGTTTTATAAGACACTGAAAGCCCGAGCTGCACTTTTCTATTGTTTATTGAAAAAAAAAAATTAGTTATTTCAAACGCTCTGTTACCACTCGCCGACGTGCTGGCACACGCTTGTAAACAACCCTGACCTGTGCATAATCAAACTCTGAAGCGCCACTTGATGTTCGATATGAACGTATTACATGGTCGTGCGGATTCCTTGAATCATCTGTGTTGGATATCATAAGAACTACCAGGCTGCCTGTTCCACGTTGCGCTCGAAAGTTGCAGTGGTCCACTAAACGCGCTCGTGACTACTTACTCCGCAAAAACGCGATTGCCGTAGGCACTTTTCGATTTCTGTTTCTGCGCAGCTGGTATCTTGAGAGTTTCGAAATGATATCCGCCGGACCCGTATGATTCGTTATCTTCGTGTGCCTTCGGTAAGGGTGCACGTCTTGTCTGTAATTATTAGCTTAACTTGCCGAATACCATCTCGGCACGAGCGACAAATGAGGCTTTTCGCTTGCTCCAGCGATATCCTTTTTTTGTGCTATATTTTTTTTTTTGTACGTGGCAGTTTGCTCGCGTTGACAGGAACGTTGTCTGTTGATTTACCGTATCATCTGATAACGTCTTCACGGCATAATATGAGCACTTGCTGTAGGAAACAAAACATGTTTCAAAACGGCTACGTAATGTTTCTTTTTTTAATAATAGATCTGTTTTTTTTTTAGGACGGCATTTGTATTTTGTTTACCTCATAAGCTGAGACTGCAGTGGATGCTACGTCCTCGTTGAATCAGTCGTACTACCTTAAAGGAATACTGAACCGAAATTTGGATTTGACAAAATAAGGCCGCGGAAGCGTTGAACGGGACCCTACGAACTCCAAAACCTCACTCATTTCTCGACATCTCCGACGGATGGCCGTATTTTCGGAAAAGAAGGGCGGGATCAAGCGAGGACTCTGACGTGACGGTCTTCCTGGAACAGTTGAGAATGAGGGGAAGCGGCCTCGCTCCTCTCCTCCTCGCTTCGGTTCGCCGGCTCGACGTATGTTGCTCGACGGGACGAAGCGAGGGGGAGGGAGAGGGAACGAGAATCATGACGTCACATGTCTCGTCGGCCCGTGTTCAATCGCGCATTTCTTTTCCAAGAATATGGCCATCCGTTAGAGACATCGCTGTATAGGAGTGGTGGGTTCTGCAGCGTCCCGCCCATCGGTCCAGCTCGAAATGTCGGTTCAGTATCCCTTTAGGTCATTCGCCTTTCTTTCCCCACGTCACCGTGCACGCTCCCGGCCATACTCACACGCGGAGGGCCGGTTCAGGGGTTAAGAGGGAAGCGGCTGATTGGTCCGGTGGGCATGCGGAGGGCTCTCGAACTGCCTTTTGGAGGCAATCACGTGACCAGCTCTACGGGGACAAACGAGTTCGAAGTACCTAGAGGCGTTGTCGTCCGTGAGTAACAAAGTAGACAGCTGGAGAAAATAATATGAATATTAATAATTCCTTTATTTAAAAAAAAACAAGAAAAACAAAAAGAAAAATAAAAACGAAATGTTTTAAGGTGACCAGGGAAAAAACAGCTGTGAGAACAGCTTGACTGGCTCCTAGCCAGCCAAGACGGCAGTCGTGATGTAGGCACCAAAGGAATATGTGCAGTGATAAAGAAAAAAGATACAATGACATAGCACCAAAAGTCGCAATGATTCCCGTACAAACCGCCAAAATGTATGCTAGCCTCCAGGTTGCCTCGGGTGTTTGCAAACGCGTAAAAGTCTTTAAAAAAAAACAATTTTTTTATTAGAAAGATAAATAAATAAATAAAGCGACTATCTTAAAATTATAAATGTCCGCGTTTCATTACTTTTTTTTAGCTCTAGTTATTAGGCGCATAATGGCTATGCGTCACATTAGACCCTTCTCAAGAGTTCGCGTCATCGCCTATCTGCCATTGCGTGATCACGAACTTTGAGCATGTATTGGAGACGAGCGCTGTGTCGGCGTTCGGCGAAGACTCGGATCCAATCACGCGCTTTGTGTCCATGGATGCATAGATGCTAACGGCTGTACTTTTTATAACGACCGGCAGCTTACTTCACCTAGCCTAGTTGTACGTCATTCAACACTCAAAGCAATGGCGACCGCCAATAGTGCTCGATGGACTTCTGAAAAGGGTTCTTGTTCCTTTTCGCACACGCACAGGTATTCTCCCCGCCGCGATATATCATCATCATTATCATCATCACTTTTTAGGACCCTAGTAAGCATACAGTTCTCCGCTTCTGTTAAAAAAAATTTGTTAACATTTTTTTTTTTTTTTTTTTTGAGAGGGGGATGCACGGACGGACACATTTCCAAGATTAATAAACTCCGCATAAAAAAAAAATCCTTTAATAACTTTTTTTTTTATTTACTGCGTTCGACACCTTGAGGCGCGCTTAGAGATACTTTATTGGAGACTACATCTTGCTGCGTGAAAATACAATGACCTCGGCTCCGACGGCTTTTGCATAGTTGGAACGGCTGGAAACGCTGTCGTCGTGGAAGAACTCCTCGACACAGCGGAGACAGCCGTCTCTGCTGTCTTGGCGGTTCCGGTATCGCGGTGCGTCGGCGGCAGCCCGTCTATCTCGGCGCAGCACGATGCGCATGCGTTCTTTCGGACACGGTTTTTCCTGACCGCGCGGGGAGCATCTCTATGCGCGCTGCCTGATGCGCAGATGAGCCGAGTAGAATGTTCTCCATAGACGTAAAACATTTGGTGCTCATGATGTTCGCTTTTGTGTACAGAACGTCTTCTGATAGCTTTTCCTTCCCGCCTTACAGAGCCATGTGCCATCCACAGCGGACGTGAGACGGGCACCACCAAACGGTGAGTTCACATACCCGAACCTACGCGTTCAGCACGGCCTCCTTTCTTTGTACCTGCGGATTTCTTCTGCCCAGGGGGCCTAAGGCAAAAGGCCTGAAGCCAGGGCCATGGCTTTCGCTTGTCATACAGTGGACACAATACAAAATAAGGACGTTCAAGCAAACCTAGACACTTACAATAGGAAATCTCAACATTAGAGTATAAAAAGGCAAACTTCAAACAAGAGACAATCTGTAATACTGTCCTATAATTAAAAACAAAATACAATATTAGTAAATCAGGAGAAAATATGCACACATTTACAGAGGTCTAAATGGAAGAAAGGCAATGAAACTGCAATGCAAACAAGAAACTTTCTGTTGGATCGTACGTATACGATCCAACAGAATTTAGTAGAACACACAAGCGGGCACAGGTTTACAATACAGTAATGTCCCGTTACTATGAACCCCGTTAATATGGATACCCTACTATATGTACACCATTTTCGGTGACAAACTGGGGAAATTCGTGCATTTTTGTCTGATTATTAAGGACAACTCACATTATGGAGGATTTTTGGGCGGGAACGGAGGTGTGCATATTACATCACTGTATATAGCCGCCTCTGCAAAGTCCTAAACCTTCTGTTGCGCATAAATTCAGCTATTACTGCAGCAGGGGAAAAAAAAAGAACGAGCAATTTAACATGAAAACACAGTGTGCTTACGTAGCATTTACTAGCTAACCTTACTACTAACCTTGATTACGATGTTTAATTCGTTAATTGGCAAACCTGCGCGCAAACCTTGAGGTGGCAGCGAGTGACTCGCCGTTCGCGGGAGCTTGTACTCCCTAGTAATTTCTTGCGTTGTTAAAAGAATCGGCTGTGGGCATGATGGCCTTGAATCTTCCCTCTCGTTGCTGTTTCCATTGGCATCCTTTTGACGGACGGCTTGCCGCGGGGATGTTATTTCCGACGGCGCTTTCTTTTGTTTTTCTTTTTTTTTTTCTGGAGAGGAGACTCGGCTGGGGTTGTGGTCCCGCGGCTGAGTGATTTTCTCTCGTAGCCTGGAGACCCAAGGTCGATGGGGAACGACTAAAACAGAAAAAAAAAAAAAAGAAAGTAGTGAACAAAAAAAAAAAAAAAAAACCGACTAGACATTTTCAGGTGTCGGAGAGGAACAGGGTTTGTTGCAGTGTTCTGTCCGTTACCGAAAACGAGTTCGTCAAAAATTGATGCTTTAATAAGATTCGTTACTGTTCTCCAAAAGTAACAAAATGCCATTACGTTACATTAAAAAAACAAAAAAAAAACCGTTATTTTTTTAATTTGGTATAATTCGGCAAGCCGCAGGATATGAACCACGATAGCAGTTAAAATGTTAGATTGATTTTCCTGTTTATTCATTTCTTTGAACAAATTTATGCGATATATTTTTATTTAAACTCGATTGAATTGACTTCGCTTTCTCAGTGGAGTGTGTTGGAATGATGCTGCGGTGGAGAAAATGTTGTTTCCCTTGTTCGGCGCAGTTAGAGAATGCAAATTATAACGTTATTTAAATAATAACGAGGATATCTGGATGGATGGGTGGATGCTAATGGCTGTACCATTTATAACAGGCGGTAGCTTGCGCCGCCTAGCCTAGAAATTAAAAGTATGACTCATCCCCTCGACCTAATTTTCACTTTTGTGAACAGCGTTGCCCGACTTCTTCACAAACGTTTCAAACACCTGGAAACAAATTTATTGACGGAGGAGTCTGGTATCTCGCACAATATTAAAGCAAAACACCCGTACTGAAAGAAAACAACATATTTATTCGGACGATCCATATCTTATTTCATACGAAAGACCCGCGTGAATAAAATCTGCATGTCTCAAATGATATCACTTTATAAAATAATGCATTTGCGTTAAAGAAAAAAAAAATTGAAGAATTGTGGGCGGGATTCGAACTTACGACCCTTTCGGTTGCGAGCAGTTTTTTTATGTTTAGCTATCGCGTTCCACTCTTAAAGGTGAAGCTTAAAGGCCCGTTCACACACTTGCGACCTCTTAGAACCGGGTGGCTTGGAACCTCTTAATATCTCTTACGACGAGAGGACGGACTGGCGCCATCTATTGGGTAGCGGTGTAAGCTTGGCGGTCCGGCATATTTTCTATTTCTCTCGCGCATTATCCTTTCTTTCTTGGCTCGAAAGACTTTTGTCAACGTTATAAACGAGCCTTTCTTATAGGTATTACGCACATTTGACCTCGGAAATTTCGCAAAACCTTCGCTCTAGTGAAATGCAGTTCCAGGGTCACCGCATAGATAGCGCCAGAATGCCAGTGTGTTCTCCTAAGATATTTTAAGAGGTTTCAACAGCTCTTGTCTATCTCGGTCGTACTCGGTTGCAAGAGTGTGAACGGGCCTTTAATGTCCACGAAGTTTTTTTTAACTTTTTTATTTTAGTAGGGACGTTAATTTTAAGTTATCGAGTTAGTTTGTTAATGTGAGACAATACACCCGATGAATATATTGCAACCATTGACCCCCAATTCCCCTTTAGGTGACGTCAGCTCGTTTCCAATTTTCGCGCATGCGCGTAATGCTCGAACTTTTGTGGAACTTTGAGTTGCGACATGCGTTGTCTTGGCTGGACTCGTAGCGACTTGTTTCAAACGGGCGGCTGCCCAGTGGACCCCTTTCAAAACCCCACCAAGCAACATTGGCTGTCGCCATTTTTTGGGGCACGATGCGTGTGATTGGCTCCGGGTCCTCGCCGAACGCTTATGTAGCGAACTGGAATAGTTGGCGCGGCAGCCACTAGGTGGCGCACACGCTTGAAAAAAAAAAAAGAAAAGAAAAAAGAATTAATGAAATTGATTAAAGACATTTTTTCTCCCATAAAACTTACGACAAAATTTTATATAAAAAAATGGCCATTTGCACGAAAATTAAACAAAGCATTCAGTTATCCCGCGGGTGTTGTGTATGGCTCTCATTATTAATTCCTGGCTGTCGGATGTGTCATGCAATCGGGAGTTCTTCACTGCGTGGTATACTGTTGGAATGGTAAGGGAAGGTACGAGTGATACTCGTGACTAAGAGCCAAAGGCCTAAAAGGGTTCGGCCGTCTAGGCTACGCAACGTTATAAAGGGTACAACCGTTATAAAGGGTATAACCACTAGCATCCATCCACCCATCCATGCTCAAAACGTTGCCGCTGCCCAGTGCCATCTAGCGTTTCCAATTGCAATCGAAGGCCGTCTTGACGTACGTATTTCGTCGGGCACCGTCACTTCCGTGCTTTAACGGCAGGCGGGAATCGGTTCTTTCCCCTTCACTTCTGGCTGCATTTTCTTCCAACTTCGATGGTCAGTAATGGAGGCGACTGATCATAAGCTGCGCTCGGAGCATCGCTGTGGCCGCCGCCATTTTTGGTACTTAGTACAGAGTGGGCGAGATTGGCAATGGTTACGTTTCGAAAATTCTACTTCCTTACGTTTTATATAAGTATGGTATGTGGAAGCTGTGGCGATATCGTTTTTGCCCTGTCGCAAGCTGTTTCAACATTTCCAGTAGAGAGGGGGGAAATCGGTTTCCCGCGATTTCAGACGAAGCTTTAGGTAACTGGCTACAATGATTTCATGCATAAAAATGGCTCAAGTGTTCTTACTTTGAGTGAAGGGTTGTCCAAACATTAACTTCTGGGCTTCCCCGAGGACGGTCTCATTGACGGCAAGTTTCTTTGTTTACTCCACTGCAAGAGCAAGCTTGCTAGCTCAGCCGTAGGCGCACTAATACGTTTGATTTTTTTTTTTTTTTTTTTATCGGCGTTTAAACGTTGGACAGATACCGATTCGACCTCTGAACACCCGACATAAGGATCGCAGCACACCATAAAATACTCGCCTCCGAACACAGCGTACATGCTTCAGTGTTCTTTCGTGCGTTTACAATAGAGATCAGTTCAGAGCCCCAAGGAGGTCCTCGCAGCGGCCATGCCGTCGTAGCATCAACGTTGCATAAAACTTTTAGAACTGCACGGTAACTGTGTAAAGAATGGACCTTTTTCCAGTAAGCTTCTGCGCGTGCGTACGCTCTCTCTCCTAGGCCTATCTTCCCGCTTTCGCCATTTTTGCGGGGCAGCGCACGACCAACATTGTCAGCATCTATCTTCGCGCGTATTTAGTCTATTTTGACATTTCGTTTTTTAGTATCGATAGTATTGGGTATAAAACGCACTGAGAAAGGATAGAACGGCATGATGCCAATGTGTCCTGACGGGCGGAGGCATGCTGAGCTCCCCTTCATAGTTCGCAGACAACTCCCCGGGATGTTTCTGCTTCTTTTTTTTTATTGCAAGTACCGTTTCTTTACAAATAAATTAGAAGACCTTGGAACCTTAATGCTCCTCGTATATCACACCCGGGCGATGACGGATGTATGAGCGTAGTGGCCAGCTAAACTTGGAAAGGATCCATGGTCTGGCCGAGAAAGCTTCTCTCTCTGCCGTTAGTTCGAGGGTGCTAAATGAACGGGAATGCTAATTGAGGCTGCCTTGATAGAGACTCGTTGAAGAAGCGCCTGTTTCGGCTCGTTGTGGGATATAGCGTTTTGTGAGGGCTGTTCCGTCCCTCTCGCCTTCTCGCTCTTTAACGGCGGCGGCTGCGACGTCCGTGGTGGAACTGCATGGCCCCGTGTATTTCGAGTTCGGCCTCCGAGGTTCTCAGATTAGAAAGCGCTTCCCCCCACCGCCTCGACGACGAACGTGAACGTTGGAACGCTCACCGGCGCCGTCGCGTCTGCGCTTCCGCCTCTTTTGCCGTCTGCTAATCAATCGAAGCGCGACGTGTATACGATCGTGCGTGCGCCATGTTCCTTTGAACGCTTTACGAGGTACTCTATCGGGCAATAACGAAAAGTGAACGGTGGAGCTTTTGACTCGTTTTCACCTTAAGAACCGTTGTAAAAAGTAGTCCGGTTCCTCGCGGAGCATTACTAATTTCCCCCTTTATGCAGATAAT